AAAAAAAAAAAAAAAAAGGGGGGCCTGCTGGCATCCCCTATGTGAAAAGAGAGAGAAAAGAGAGAAAAGAAGCAGCCGGGCTGATGGGCACGGGCTTGTCTGCCAGGCTTTGTTACCGGGTGTGCTGCTGCTCCTTGGTGGCCACGTAGAAGCTGAAGTCAAACTTCCAGCCCCGCTTGGCATCACAGGCCAAGGTCGTCAGCATCCACTTGCGGGAGGGGCTCGCCGCCTGGAGCAGCCCTACTGTAGACATACAAGCGGTCAGCTTCTTGGTGAAGTTACCAAAAGGCGCTCTATACACCTAAGCAGTGGGTTGACAGAGACAAGACATGTGACTCGGGGGGGCTGCCTCAGCCTGGGCCAGCCTCAGGCTCCGTCCCCTCCCTCCTCGGCATAGTTCACCCCATCCCAGTCCTCGGAGTCGGGGACAGAGCCCTGGGCAGAGGCTTGGGAGGCCTGGGTTTGAGTTCAGCGCTTCGGCAAATCCCTTCCTCCTCTGAGCCTCGTTTCTTCCCTCAACGATCGTTCACTGAGTGTCTGTGCCATACCAGGCACTGCGTCAGGCTCTGAGGGGCACGGTCCCTACCCTTGTGGAGCTGGCAATGATGATGGCTTCTAAGAATAAGGAAGATAAGACAGGATAAATGGCAGGGAGAGGAGGACAAGGCGAGAAAGGCGCCGGGGCAGGGCTCTGTGGGGCCCCACAGGGGTGCCGAGACCTGAATGAGCACCAAGGAGTCAGCCACACACGAAGCCGAAGGAAAAGCTTTTCAGGCAGTGGGAACGGCACACGCAGAGGCTTAGAGGCAGGAAAAGCCTCAGAGACCTCATCTTCCAAATGGAAATATAAATCCTGAACAAACAAATTGGCACGTGCCCCTGTCACCATGGAGGGTGTACCATGTTAAAGAAACACGAATGAGCCTGGGCAACACAGAGAGACCCTGCACCTACAAAAAATAAAAGACAAAACTAGCTCGTGTGGTGGTGTGTGCCTGTGGTCACAGCTACTCAGGAAGCTGACGAGAGAGGCTCGCTTGAGTCCAGGAGGTCGAGGCTGCAGTGAGCTATGATCATGCTACTGCGCTCCAGCCTGGGTGACGGTGCAAGCCCCTGTCCTCCCCCCAACCCCCCCAGAAAAAGAAAAAGAAAAGAAACAAATGACCCCCACGAAGGGGAAAACTCAAGTGTGGGCCTGGGGACTCCTTTCTGCGGTGCTGGAGCAGCTACCAAGGACAGCAAGATTCCTGGCCGCCACTGCCCGAGGAGGGACTGTACCCAGGCCTCACTGCACTGCACAGGCCTCACCTCACACACCTCCAACAATGCTGGCTGGTGCTTGTCACATCCCCATGTCACGGATGAAGAAACTGAGGCTCAGAGAGTAAGCAATCTGCCCAAAGACACACAGTTAATAAATGGCAGAGCCACGATTTGAATCCAGGCCTGGCTGACTCAGAAGCCCATGCTGCCACCACTTGGCAGGTTCCTGTCACAGACAAGGCTGGTTTGGGGCAGGGGGGTCTTCATCCTCAAAGCTGCTTCTCCCTATGTGGCCAGTGCCCACCAGTGTGGCCCTGAGGGCCCCCCCGCCCCCAGTGGTGGTGGCTCGCTTCACGATAGCCCAGGCTCACCTGGAAGGAGGGCACCTCTCCATCCCCAGGTGACACAGCCTGCCAAGGAGCAGGCAGGCTGGCATTGAGGGAGAGCCTGTAGACAGCGGGGTGGCCTTGACTCTTCACTTTAGAGAGGTACACGGTGCCCAGGAAATCTATGGACAAATAAAGGATGAAAGAGAGGTGAACTTGACCTTGACTGGCTTCTCCTGACCCTGGAGCAGCCCACCCTCAGCTCTGTCGACTAATGAGCTCAGTCCTCGCCTTGGGCTCATCTCAAAATGCTGGCTGTGCCCCTCTCTACTGGACCAGGCCCATGGCAATAATAGTGGGGGAGGTGGTGGGCACAGGATGGGGTGGCAGGGATGGTGGGGGGGGTGGTGGGCACAGGGATGGGGTGGGAGGGATGGTGGGGGAGGTGTTGGGCACAGGATGGGGTGGGAGGGATGGTGGGAGAGGTGGTGGGCACAGGGATGGGGTGGGAGGGATGGTGGGGGAGGTGGTGGGCACTGGGATGGGGTGGCCCAGATAGCGGAGGTGACAGTGATGAAGGGCATCCTGGTGAAGGTGTGCCAGTGATGGTTCAGGGCTGGTGCTGGGAGTGACAGTGGTAGGACAGAGGTGGTGACAGTGCCATAGGGTGACAGGGACAGACAGAGCTGCCTGATGGGGGATTCATTCCCCCAGTACACTTGTCCCAGCACCCACCTCTGAGGGAAACTCCAGCAGGGATAAGCCAGTGTTTGGGGCCAGGGACGCCTGCCTCTGCCCCTGGACACTCAGGATGGCTTTGGTGCACAGGTAGGGCTTAGGCGGCACCACAGACCAGGGTGTCGCGGGAGCCTACTGTCCTGGCGGGATGGCAGGTGAGGGCCCCAAATTCACCCCCCATCCCCAGCTCCTCTGCAGTGACCAGGAACACAGAATGTCCATCTTGAAGGAGAATCCAGAAGGAATTTTATCTGCTCCCCTTACAGGGCCCCCAACCCTAGCACCAGGGAGGATTTCCCCACCCTCCACCCCCCGTGCTCACCCTGCAGGGTGGCCTCAGGCCGGCTGGCCCAGGGAACCCCCGAGCCTCGCCTCTTCTTCTCCAGGGACGTCCGGATGTTGTTCTGCAGGCTGTGGGGCTTCTCCTGGAACAGACCTGCCCCGCAACGCCACGTCAAGGACAGCAGGACAGCAGGGCATCCCGGGCTGGGCCCGATGGGCAGAGGCAAGAGGCTGGGATCTGACACAGTCTCAGGAACTGGGGCCCAGGGACTGGAGGGGGTGGGTGTGTGGGGGTCAGAAACTAGGAAGAACTTTTAAAAAATCAAATACCAAACTTTTAGGAATTTTAGGCCCAGAGAAAGGCACCATCAGCCTGCCCAGAGAAAAACACTGAAACGCTCCCTGCTCACCCTCTCTGTGCCACTCTGCCCCCTGCTCACCCTCTCTGTGCCACTCTGCCCCTGCTCACCCTCTCTGTGCCACTCTGCCCCTGCTCGCCCTCTC